GGACGTGCCTGTGGTATATAATATATAATATCGTAGATATATAAAATTTATTGCTGCAGCTTGTATAATGTTAATTTTTTTCTTGCAGCAGTTTACATAGGTATCGACTTTTAGAAAAAGGTTAATTTTGACGCAGTTTACTATCTCCCATTATCTTTGTTTTTAAACATTAACTTATGCATGTTATATACATAAGTATATTTATGTACATAGGTAATGATAATTACTCGAGCCAAAATTCACCGGTCTCCAACATTATAAACGACACATCGGGCCGAAACTCACTAATAGCCAAAATTGTTGATTCTGAGTGAAGCCAGTAGGTAATATATTTTGCTATTGTAATATAACATATGGTGATATTTAGTAGTTTGCTGTAAAAAAGCTATATTGATTGCTGTATTTAGATGCTTTGATTTGTATTTTTTCAGACGAGAGTTACGATAAAATAATAATCATTAGTCATAAATTATTGAAGTCTGCCATCTAATCCGTACCATAGTATATTATTTTGTGCTACAGCGATGCACCATATATTGTACATGATTTATCATAAATTATGATTCATAATATTATAGACAATAAATCCATGTGATCAGACAGATCAATGGTTCACAAAGTTAGTTCAATGAACCCCAGGGTTTCGTTGTATATAAGAACTTTCTACGACCCTAACGACTAGATTTGTATAATTCCGTAACATAATACCATCAGCAGTATTTAATTATATTTTTTATTTATAAGAGACAAAAAAGCTAAGGGTAAACCTGCACCATGCTCAAAAATAAAATATAATAGATGACAGTTGTGCTACGTAGTCATGGTACTCACTGTTACGGTGATAATTACATTGCATCCCTTTATAATCAATCGGACAATCACAATATGTAAATCCTAATGAAGGTACACATTTACCGCCGTTTTGACATGGCGGATAAGTATGTTTTTCGCAGGCGTCTACGAAAAGTTCGCATTCGTCACCAGTCCGGTGGTCTTTGGAAAAAGAGCAATCACATCCTTTGTACGTGCCGTTTTTGTCCGTATAATCACATCCACCGTCATTACAAGTGTTTCGGCACACATTAATGCAGTGCAAAATATGCGCAAAACCGATCAATTTCAATATCAATAGCCACATATTATTTATATTTTTACGTACTGATGAATATAACTGTTATGTAAATCTCGGTCGTCATATCCACATTATCAATTTTCTAAAACCAATTAATAAATAAATTTAAAATACATAATTCCCTTGATAGTTATACAAGAACGAAAATGAAATAATTCGAAAATGGTTATTCTAAAGTATTGGAACTTAGGTAGAAATATAAACGTTATCTTTTTATCTATCTTATATTACTATTTTAGTTATCTATTGCTTATTTTTCTAGATTTTTTTTTTTTTTTATATATATATATATAAAATATTTAATAAATATTTTGGATTACCCAGAGTTGGGTCCTAAATTCCAAAAATAATATAAATTAGGTCCAAACGTATTTTATTGAGTACATGAGTTGGGTCCCATATATTTTATCGAGTACATGAGTTGGGTCCCTATATATTTTATCGACTACATGAGTTGGGTTCAGCCAATTAGCGTCACCCAGAAGATACCATGGACCCAATTCACGTATTATCAAATGTGACCATGAACTCAATTCGAGTATTATTAAATATTATCGCGGATAAAACTCGCGTTTTTTTTTTTGAGCAATCAAATATCTCCAGGCCCAACTCAAGAGTTCCCAATATTTTGAATGCTATAGAGACTCAGGAATCTTGCCACACATTTCCTGTATAGCTGTAGCAATAATGTTCAGTAAATAAAATTTCGATGGAAGACATAAGAGCCAACCAATATTAGATAAAAAAAAAACGTATCGTACGAAGGTACTAAAATCCTAGGTGTCTGTGTGCAGTGGCGTAGTCTGGATTTTGCAAGGGGGAGTGGGTTAAGTGTAAATTAAACTTAGTTTTTTTTTAGTTTTCGTTAGATTTGTTGCTCAATTGAATTATTCAAGAACAAAGTTCAGTTGTGAACTTGTGAATATACAATATTATAATTATATGTTATAAACCCCTCAATATAAAAATTATTTATTTTTTATTTGTTTATAGAATTATACATAAATCCAAATAATATTATGAACATAACTATAATATTAACCATGTATCTACAACAAACGTATTCTTCTTGTTTTTATAGCTAATTTATTCAAAACGTCTTCCGGCTGTAATATTATAAATATACAATAATATAAATAATAAATTTATTGTACTTGGAAATACAATAGGGGGAGGGGGTTTAAACACCCAAACCCCCCTGTCAACGCCACTGCCTGAGTGTCACAATTAATAAATAAATGTAATATATATATAATAAATGTATTTAACCTTATGTACTTAACCAGTGTGCTCCATTCCAGATGGTAGATTTCAGTTTATTAGAACTATCCGTGTGTTCTTTGACAACCTCGGTTATCAATTAATTGATCAACCTGAATATGCCATTGATTTTAAGTTAATAAACACCAATTGAAAACAAAACGTGGGATGGAATCAATGAAAAAAGATTAAATGATAATGGAATGCTGTACTAAAATAATTTGGTGGCTATGGTTAAATAGTGATAACTAGGTCCCGGAATTTGAGAATCTACAAAAAATGTAAAAAAATGCGCAAAAAACAAAGTTAAAAAATTAAATGAAAAAATTATAGTCAAAATGTATACTTTACTATAAAATTAATTAACATTGTTTTAATAAAAATTATAATTATAAATTAAATAAAACTATACAGTATTAAATGTTCCGATTAATTGTTATTTTATTGATGAAAAAAATGTTAGTATAGGTACTTACATTACTTTTTGTTAAATTTCATATTTTTTTAAACTACTCTGTAATAAAAACACATTGTAATATAATAAAAGTGAAAATATTTACGAAATAATTTTTAATATTTGATTGTTTTACCTTCAAATTTCTTACAATCAAAGTTTTCTTAATACTTTTAAACAAAAATTAATGGTCATTATCTGACAGAAGTATTTTGTAGGTTGAAAAACCTCTCTACATCCATAGATGTGATATGGTACCTATTTAAAATAAGTGGTATCATTTATGTTCACGGTGGACACGTATTTTTTAAATGTAGCAAAATATTGTTATACCTCCCCCCTCTCCCGAAAAATTAAAAAATTTAAAGACTTTTTTTTATGTTTTATTATTTGTTAATATTATAGGTATAATATATATAATAGCACAGAAGTAATACGAATAATGAATAATATAATATTATCATCATTAATATTAACAACACTAATCATTATTGATAGTAATATTACAATTAATATCTCTCCAGTTAATTATTTCAATTTACATGTTAAAGTACTTATTCACTCCTTTATTTACTATGCATAACAGCTGCTACACCTAGCAATAGGGTTGGATGCCATTAGATATTCATATCATCTGATAAACTATCTAGTTCGTTTGAATTATTTTCTCCGTCTAATATTTTTGAAATGTTCTGTATTGTATTCTAACACATTATTCTAAAAACAAAAACTGCATTAAATTTATTTTGAATTTGACGACCAATATTATTGTGAGCTTGTTGAATATTGATTTTTTCTGCCTCTATAATTTTTCTAAAATCGACCAAACTAATTTTAATGATTCTCATTAAGTTACTGAATCTAGTACCATACGATAAATAATAATAATAATAATACTGAACCTGGTAAAGTTTCGAAATTTAATTTTATGTAAATCAAATCTGACTGTAATTTTAAATCTGATATTAAATCAAACACATTTTCAATTGCTGGAGCGTCTTTTTTGTTTAATTTTTCGACGCCATTTTTTATGCTATAAAAATGTTCGCAATGATAAAATGCTGCACTTGGCCACGTTTTCCATCTAGTAAGTACTGGTTGCGTTGGTAATAGTATAGTACAGTGGCGTATTTAGGAGGGGGCGAGGGGGCCCGGGCCCCCTCCGAAATGAAAAACACCATTGTTAAAGATTGTTATTTTTAACATGGATATGTCTTAATGCTGGGGGTTTCTGAAAATTTGTCGCGACACTGAGAATATTGCTTATGCGATAACTTAAAATTTTATATTTATAAAATATGTTTATTCTTTTAAGAAAATAAATGGTGAATTTTGAGTGACTCTAATAAAAAATTTGTTTATTACAATGCAGTTTTTATACTTTTAAAAAATTATAAATCATTAAAAAAATTGAATTTCTTATTTTTCTGATGGTGTAAAGACTGTCGAGAAGTCTTATAGTGCTAAAGTAATTTTTTTCGTAATAGTGTGCTTCCTCCTTCCTTTCCACCCAAAAATCAAATACATAATCGACCCCCTCCGAAATGAAAACCTATATACGCCACTGGTATAGTAGATGTAATTTCTTTAAATAAATTAACTCACGAAGGTGGTTGTATCAATATTTTTTTCCCATTCGAAATGAGTTAATCAACTTTTATTGAATATTTTTCGATTTTCTCTGTGTGATGCACGTATCACACGTGTTACAACATACCGATGTAACGATATGTATATATATATATATATATATATATATATATAATAATTTGATAATTATATATTTATTTAATCAATTAAACGATTTTAATGGTGTTGTTGTTAATATAGTTTTATTTTTTTCATGCTAGTTACAACGGCGCAGAAGATTTGTAAAGGGCGGCATTTGTTTTTTTCTTTCTCCAGGCGGCGACATATTCGTTTACTCGGTCACTGATCTGGTTAGTGTTGTGGAAATAATTGTTTACGGAATACCAAACGACGGATGGCGTCCCGCCAAAAAATGTTTCGTCGTAATTCTAACGGTTGGTACCACTGTAACATCCTGGACCCGTGGAAGAGTGGAAGTTATGGCTACGGCCGCCGACACCGTTTCGTTTCCACCAACCTAGCGGCGGCGCGGGGTGGGCGTTCGTCCGGGCCCGGGTTTTGGTAACCACTGATCGCGGTTCGGTGTCCGAATTGTTATGCGCAACGAACGTCGATCACGCCACGTTTTTCGCAGTCGCCCGAGTTCATTTCGGCGAGTTTCTTTCTTGCCTTTGTGCGTGTCCGTTGATGTGCTTCACCCACAACCATGTCTAGGTACAGCCAGAGACCCGAGAACGCCTTAAAACGCGCGAATGGTAAGTACCCGCTACGCTAGTGCTGTTAGCACTAGGCTTTACCTAACCACCGCTTGTCGATGCGTTTCAGAATTCCTGGAAGTCGGCCGCCCCGGCCGTGCCCTCGACACCCTGTATGAGGTGTTTAGGAACAAAAAATGGGCGTACAACTGGAGCGAGAGCGTACTCGAGCCGATCATGTTCAAGTATCTGGAACTGTGCGTCGACCTCAAGAAGTCGCACATCGCCAAGGAGGGACTTTTCCAGTACCGGAACATGTTCCAGTCGGTAAGCAACGAACAAGTGTTTCGCACATTGTGTTATCGTATTCGTTTACTTGACAAACGCCTATGATCTTCAGGTCAATGTCGGCTCGTTAGAAAATGTTATACGTGGATACTTGAGAAGTGCTGAAGAACGTACCGAGGCAGCTAGAGAACAATCACAACAAGCTGTTGTTGATATCGATGACTTGGATAATCTTGCTACTCCTGAAAGTATTCTTCTGAGGTAGGTTTCATTTTCATATTAAACTCATGATCATTTATTGTTTGTCGTTCAATATGAATTTAGCGCTGTGAGTGGAGAAGATGCCCAGGATCGTAGTGACAGAACCATATTAACGCCATGGGTTAAATTTTTATGGGAATCTTACTGTCAGTGTTTAGAGCTTTTGAGGACTAATGCTCATGTGGAAACTTTATACCATGATATCGCTAAAATGGTAAAAAATAGTTAATATGAATCATAACATTAGTTAATATCATTTCTCCACAGGCTTATGCATTTTGTTTAAAATACAATCGTAAAACAGAGTTCAGGAAATTATGTGATAAATTACGTAAACATCTTGAAGATATTGCCAAATTGCCTGCGCAAACTGTTAATGTTAGTCTTTCTAATCCTGAAACCCAACAGTATAATTTAGAAACTCGTTTGTGTCAATTAGATTATGCTATTCAGATGGAACTATGGCAGGTGAGTTCTATATAAATTATAGTTATTAACCAATATTTTCTATTGGTTAATTTGTCAATAATGCGAATATAAATCTATGATTCATAAATTATAGGAAGCATACAAAGCAACAGAAGATATCCATAATTTAATGATGTTAGCTAAAAAATCTCCAGTTCCAAAAACAATGGCCAATTATTATCAAAAACTAGCTATGGTGTTTTGGAAAGCTGGTTATAATTTATTCCATGCTGCAGCTCTTATGAAATTTTTCCAACTGAGTAAAGAAATGAAGAAAAACATAACTGCTGAAGAACTTCAAAAGTAAGTTATTATTTTCATCATTATTTATTTGTATTAAACTTAGATATTTACACTAGAATGGCTTCTCGAGTACTACTAGCCACATTAGCTGTACCATTACCATCGGCTCATCCTGAATTTGATCGTTTTATTGAAACTGATAAAAGTCCATATGAAAAAGCTCAAAAATTAGCTGTTCTTTTGAGTCTTCCTGCACCACCTACAAGAATTTCTCTTTTAAGAGAAGTTGTAAGCAATTATTTAATTTAAGTGTAATTGATCAATAATTATTTGTTATAATCCATGTTTTTATTATCCTAGGTACGCCATAATGTTGTGGCTTTGGCTTCTGAAGATTTGCGTAATCTTTACATGTGGTTGGAAGTAGAATTTCAGCCTTTAGAACTTTGCAAACGTGTTGAAACTGTAACTGAGCCACTTATAGGTAGCGGTAGTGATTTAGAAGGATATGTAGCCCCTGTGCGTGAAGTTACATTGGCACGTTTGATTAGACAACTTTCTCAGATTTATGAAACACTTGAATATAAACGACTCTTAGAATTGGCATCTTATTGTAAACCTTTCCATATGGAACGTGTCTTGGTTGACTTGGTCCGTCATAATGATATGCAGGTATACAATTTAAATTATATTTTATTCTTTCTACAATCATTATTAAAATGTTATAAATATTTCACTTTGATAATTTTTTATATTAATTAAGTAATTTTAATGTAGTTTATAATAAATTTAATTTTAATTTTTTTTAGATTCGTATTGATCATGGAAAAAGATGCATTCAGTTTGGAATGGATTTGTCAGAATCTCAACGTGAAGATAAACCAGAAGGACCAACTTTACAAACAATGCCTAGTGAACAAATTCGTACATACTTAATTAATACTTATAAAGTATTGTCTAAGTCTGCTAATATTATCAATCCAGAAGCAAACAAGGTAATTAATTGAAATTCAAATTGTAATTACAATATCATGCCTATTTTTAACTTAAGACTTATATTCTATATTTAAACAATATTAGTCTTCCATTATCTCAATATATCTTAATCCTCACACTTTAATAGATTAATCTTGTGTTATTAAACCTCATAGTCTTTCTTTTTTCTTATCAACAACACTTGTCATACAAGAATGTAGTACTTAAGGTGAAACCTCACAGCCTTATATCACATTGATGATTTATAGTTTACAATATTTGTTAATTTGAATTGGTATTTTGAATATTATACTAATATTTTTGTTTACAAGTAACAAATGAGGTAATAAAAAATATTATTTGATAAATTAAACAAAAATATTCCCTTGGTTACTTTAAATTATATTTTAAAATTATATTCTGTAATTAATGAATATTTCTTTTATAAGTTACTAAATAACTAATCATACAATAATGATTAAGAATTTTCTATTAAGAACGGTATTGGAATAGAGTCCAGTAGGAAAAAGATCCTTAAGAAAACCAAAATTTAAATGAAAAAATATAGTTAAAAAGGATGTAGTAGTATTAAAGTATTGGTTGTGAGACAGAATTGTCCTAGCAGCTACAGATAACCCCCAAAAAATAATAATTATAACTGATATTAAATTGATTATTGAAAGTAATGATTATAAAAATGTTTAAAAATTCAATGACGTTTAGAGGATACCAAAAGGCTATTTGGTTATTTTTGTTGTCTTGAATTTATATCTTACATGCCATCAAAATTATTTGATGAAATCTTAAAATTAAATTGTATAATGAAACTAATAAGCATGATAAAATGCTTCTATCTCATCATAGCATTAAAATTATCAATTGACCATCTAATGAAATATAACATATTCCATTACATTTTTGTAAAATATTGTTGATATCTAGAATATTTTAAGGATTAAACTAGGTATCTAACATTTTATTTCTATATAATGAATAAATCTGTGAATATCAAAATAATTAATAGCATATTAGAGATGATATAATGAAAATGTATATATTATTGTTATTTATTTATTTTTTATTGATGATGACTAAATCTTAGCGGATATCGGAATGATATCTATGATTATACAATAATTTCTGATAAAATAATTATATTTAATATTTT